CTTTGAGTCGCTTTGGGTGGTTGAGCCGACGGTGACTGCGAGCGGCACGGAGGCGGGCGAATAGCCGCATGCATCGTCGTTGGAGTTGCCTGCAGCAGCAATTGTCAGGACGCCCTCGTCGTAGGCGGCGCGGATTGCGTCGTCAAAGACGCCGACTTGGTTCGTACCCAGCGACATCGAAATTATCGCGGGCAGACCGCGCTCCTTCGCGTCGTCGACCGCCCACTCGATGCCCGCGATGATGCCAGCGTGCGAGCCACGGGCTCGCGGAGCGCAGTTCAAGACCTGGCGGCGGTGAGGTGGCGGTCAACGAGGGCATCGGTTGAGGGACGCACAGCGGCATAATGGCAACGATGGGACAGCCTGGACAGTGACGATGATGGTCCCTTCGGCGACGCCATGATTTGAACCGCCAGCAGTCGAGGCGCAATGTGTGCCGTGGCCGTTGCACTGCGATGTCTCTGCGGTGATTTCGCCCTGGTACAGCCAACCTTGGGAGGCGTCGCCGCACCCATGCTCGGAGCCGGTGGGGCAACCGGCCGACCAGCCGGCCTCAGCGCGGCCGCCAAAGTCCTCGTGAGAGACGCGGACGCCCGTGTCGAGGATGTAGACCACGGCGCCTGCTCCAGTGGCGCCAGAGTCGTCGTACGAGCCATCGGTTCCGGAACGCGAGTCGATGCGGTCGATGCCCTGTTTCGAGACAGAGCGGTGGGTGTCAGTGCCTCTGTGGTTTTCGAGAGAGTGACTGACTCTGTGGCGGCTCAATCGGGGCCGCAAGAGCTAGCGCCACTCACCCAGCTCCAGCCAGGCGAGAGGCCCCGGCTCGCGATCTCATCGGGGCTGATCTCGACAAAGCAATTCGGAAGGACCGATTGAATTGCCGGGTCGAGATGCAGAGCAGCGGATATGTTGCCGTCGATCCGCGCGGCGACAGCCCTGGTAGGGGGGAGAGCACACAGGAGGTCAGACAGGAAAGGCCGAGAAGGAGACGCTGACGTTTCTCATCTCGCCTGATTGAGGGTAACTCATGGAGGATCGTAAAGCCGCCGGACAGCCCGTGGTACAGCGCGTCGATCTTGTTGCGAAGCGCGGGCACGGGATTCTCGCCCGAGCGGAAGGAGTCGTCCTTCAGTTTGATGATGACGCCGTCGGCGCCGTTCTCGCAGCTCTCGTCAACCTTGACCTTCCCTGACTACGGACGTGGGCGGGGAGCGGATGCAGATGCCGTGGGCGGCGGGCACTTTGGAGGTTAGCGCTGTGCTTCACCTTGTGGACTGCGTCCTCGCTGACGGCGAGGCCACGGCTCACGCTCACGGAGGCGGCAAGGGTGAAGAGAGTGAGCATGGCACTGTGACTCGACGCTCTGCTGTCTGAGGACGCGTCAGTTGCGCCCGCCGAGATCCCGCGCAAGGTTGCAATCCCAGCGATTGCGCGGCCTTTCGTAAGGACGCCGCGTTACCACTTGGCGAAACTGTCCCGGACGCAACGAAAAATAGGCTTTCTGTGAAGGGGGTTGGGGGGGGGGGGGGGGCACGCGGGTCGCGGCGGGAGGCGGAGGGCGTGGTCCGCAAAAGGGATATTTACACCCACACCCACCCACCCATAGTGCATCCATCCACTAATATATGCAACCATCCCAGGGATCAGAGACAGAGTCTGGCAGACTAGAGCACACGAGAGAGCGCATGAACGTAGCAGGCCAGCGCACCCCGGGGCTCTCTTTTTCACCTTCGTCTAGCTATAAGAAAATCCTACTATCGTGACGGACGAG